TGCTCGAGTTGGTGGTGGGAGGGGACAGCTCTAGGTTGGATAGTCGGAAGAACTCTTGCCCTAGGCGGGTGGGAAGCGCTGGGCTGGGTTTCCTGGGGAGGGGGTGGAGTCTCCATCCCTAGAGGTGTTTAAGTCCTGGCTTGACAAAGCCCTGGCTGGGAGGATTGAGCTGGGGTTGGTCCTGCTTTGGGCTCTCCCCGACCTCTGATTCTATCTAGCCCAGTGTCCTGTCTTTCGACACTGGCCAATGCCAGGTGCACCACAGGAAATGAATACCACAGAGACTCATCAAGTGAATTTAGGGGCCTAAGTCCTTGAATAATTTACCATTTTCTCTTGAGTAAGAAAACATGTACAAAATAAGACTGAATGGTGCAACAACTCACCTGATCTCTTTAAGTCCTTCTTTCTGGATGACTTGAAGAATCTCTTTATGGCTCATAGGTGTATTTGGATATTTCTCCAGGACCTGGTGTGCAAAAACAGATAAAGATGGGAAAGTTACTTACCTGCAATTATTCAAAAAAACAAAATGTGTTTCCTACAGAAATCCACACGCACAGGTTTAACATCTCCAAGGAGCGCACTAGGAGACGGGAATTCTTGGGTTGCAGGAATCTCTTCCACCTGAGACTAGCTGCAAGCCATGGCAGTAGATTCAGTACAGGGAACCCTCACAATTTGCGGAATCACTCTTCACAATTTTGCATATTCATGGCTCTCTCCCATCCCTAAGATCTGCAGCTTCCAGCCACTCCCCTGCCCTCTCCCACCCCACCGCACCCCATCCTTCAGCCTGGGGGGAGGGACGCAGACTCAGGGAGGCCTGTTGTGGGGCAGCAGCAACAATCTGCCCCCCCCCACATTCACTGTGGCAAGCAAACGAAGCACTCGCTCCACTTCTCCCACCCGCAGTATTTGCGGATTTATTCGCAGTGGTGGCCAGAACGTATGCATCACGAACGGTGAGGGCGTCCTCTGTGCAAATATTCCAGCATAGCTTCAGACAGCACAGAACCATCCAAAACTTCAAGTAATGGGGATTTTAGTTCTCACTTAACAGGAGGGACAAATCTGATTGGTGTATTTAGGCCACACCTTCAGAGAAACCTACAGGTGCCCAATAGTGCTGTAGGCTGAAAGACAGCAGGCTGCCTGTTTGGGGGCATCACACCCAGATGAACGCCCTCCCTTGGGCATGCACCAGACAGCTGAGAAAGAACTGACCCCAAACTCTAGGACAACCCCGCCCCCCCGTCGGTGGGCAGAGAACAACGTTCAGAGGTGTGCTGGGGCCTGGCCCAGCTCCCACAGGGAAGGAGGGAACTCCCCTCCCAGCTCCACCATCCACAGGTCCAGCCATGGCCACCACCCACGGTACACAGCCCCATCTATGGCCCCAGTTGCACTGCCAGCCCCGCTTAGGGCCTCAGCACCCAACCATGGCACCTGATGGGGCACGGACCAGGTAAAGGGTATTCAGACGGGCTCACGCACATCTCCCTGAAGGCCACCTAAGGTGGGAGCTTTCTGATTCACAGTTTACCTTTAAGGGGCATGGCTGTAAAAGCAGACCGCAAACTAGATGCACATTTAGTCGACAATTGACCCAGGGTCGTTGAGAATCCATCATCACTTACAGTTTTTTAAATTCAGAATAGATTATTAGAAAAACATCCACTCTAGTAATTGAGCAAGTTGTCAAGTTTTCATGAAGTCTGTTCTGCATAAATCACTCAATTTCAACCTTTATCGTGTTTTATTCTTTTAATTCTGTGTTTCAATCAACACAGTTCTAACCTCTACATCAATTTCCTCATGTGTTTGCCATGGCATTAAGCAGGCTAACATCTATGTATTTGGAATTTCATTTATAACAGCTTCAAGTTGGATTGTGACAGGGTCACATTTACACTTTGGACTTTTTGGGCCCATATACTCCATCCAAGTTAATACAACACTTTGCACATTTCCAAAACCTCACTGCTCCTTGTTAAATAGCACCAAAAATGCAGCTCTATACAAAACAGCAAACCTATACCTGCTCCTCATTCCACTTTCCTCAACTCAATGGCATATACTGTGGGCAACGATCCAGGGCCTCAGCGGGTCTCCAACGCTCTTCTGGAGCCAATGGCTTGGCCTCTGAGTAATGGAGTTTTCTTCCTCTCTAGCTCAGCTGAGGTTTTCTAACCTTGGTTCATCACACAGCTGAACCAAGCCCCTCTGCTATGAAAACATATATACACACCCGTCCTGCCCAAAGTCAGTGTCCGAGTCCCTCAAGTTTATAGGTTGCAACAGCAACACCTGGTTCCTTTGTTCCGCTGCTAGAGATCTTCAACCACTCAATGCCAGTCACCAACTGAGGGGGAGAGGCATACTGGTTTTCTGAGGCTTGAGGTAACCTATTGTCCCAAGACGTTTCCACCTGGACAGCTAACCATTTAGATTTAATGACTATTCTCTCCAGTCTATCAGAGAGATGACCATAGTCCTGTCAGCGTATGACAGACTCCACATACCGTTCCAAGTGTAGGACTCTGCACTTGCCCTTGTTCAACCTCATCAGATTTCTTTTGGCCCAATCCTCCAATCTGTCTAGTCACTCTGAACCCTATTTCTACCCTTCAACATATCTACCTCCCTCAGCTTAATGTCATCTGCAAACTTGCTGAAGGTGCAATCCATCCCCTCAGCCAAGTCGTTAATGAAGACAACAAAACTGGCCCCAGAATCAATCCCTGGAGCAGTCCACTGGATACTAGCTGCCAACTAGACATCCAGCCATTGATCACTACCTATTGAACAGAATGGTCTAACCAGCTTTCTACACACCTTGCAGTCCAGTCAGCCGAGCCATACTACTTTACACCTTGCTGGCAAGAATACTGAGGGAGACTGCATCAAATGCTTTGCTAAAGTCGAGGTACTTCACACCCACCTCTTCCTCCATGGCCACAGAGCGAGTTACCTCATCAGAGAAGGCAAGTAGGTTGGTCAGACAAAAGAAACATGATCCCTAAGTGGTTCCTCCAGCACTTGCACCAGGAACTTGGGCCCAACTCTCTCCCAGAATTCCCTCAACTGTCTATTGGCTGTATTGGTCTCCCAGCAGGTGTCAGGGTGATTAAAGTCCCCCATGAGAACCAAGGCCTGTGATCTGGAAACGTGTTAGCTGTCCAAAGAAAGCCTATAGCAGACTCTGCTTAACCCAAAGACTCAACAGGCTTTTCTCTCATGTTATACTGGAGCTCTGAGCAGTCATACTGGTCTCACATACAGTGCAACTCCTCCACCTTTTCTCCCCTGCCCACCCTTCCCTGACACAGGAGTTACCTCACCAAGTCCCAGGTATCCCAATCACATCACAGTTCCTTGGCCTTGCCAGGACTTGCAATTCTTCCCATTTCCTTCCCAAGCTTCAAGTGTGCAGGCCCCTAAGAGAACTAGCTGAATGCCCCACTTGCTCAGTATGAATCAGGAGGCCTCCCCTATTGCACTCTCCTCCTTGTCCTCTCGTGGATTGGTAACTTGTTACAAGACAGGTGTCATGGCTCCTTCCCCACCCTGGCACGATAAATGCAAAAGTGGAGGCTAGCAAAAGTCCCCCAAAACCTTATCTACCAGACTTCGGTATAAAGCTTCCCCTCGAAATCTTAACCTAGATTTTGGGAATGAAATGCCGCTGCCACCACCCAAATATTAATAAAGCAACCAGGGAGAGACTACTTGGGAAATCTCACCCCTAAAGTACAAACCAGGAAACCAACATTAACCAATACCAGGTTAATAAAAAGAAAAGAGAGAACTTTTATCATCACCACAATATTCCTGTTGTGAGCATGATGCCTAGATGGAACAGTCACACAATAATATCCTCCTGGAGGAGAAATTTACCATGGGCCAGGAACTTAGTTACCAAGGACAGCAAAACCCATTTTTAAATGCACAGACCAGATCCCATTTCCCAAACTATAAAACAAGAAAACCTAACGGATTTATCTAAATGTATACTATTTACAGACTGTGAAGAGTATTTTCTTAGAGGGAGACTTCCTGTCCCCTTCAATAGCTGGAGAGAAACTACCCGAACAAAGGAGGGAAAAACCCCAAAATTCCTGTGTCCCAGTTTGAAATTCCTACCCGCATTTCTATTGGCTGCCTACCACCTGGTTTAGGTAAGGGACCTATTTAACCCCTTAGTCCCCAGGATGCTGGATAACCCTCATGATCATGACAACAGGAAACAAAAAGTAGGAATAAATGGTCAGTTTTCAGAATGGAGAGAGGTAACTAGTGGGGTCCCCCCAGGGTCTGTCCTGGGACCAATCCTATTCAACTTATTTATAAATGATCTAGAGAAAGGGGTAAACAGGGAGGTGGCAAAATTTGCAGATGATCCCAAACTGCTCAAGGTAGCTCCAAAGCAGACTGTGAAGAGCTTCAAAAAGATCTCACCCAACTAAGTTACTGGGCAGCAAAATGGCAAATGAAATTTAATGTTGATAAAAATAAAGTAATACACACTGGAAAAAATAATCCCAACTATGCATACAACATAAGGAGGACTAATTTGTCTACCATCATAGAGATTTTGGAGTCACTGCCGATAGTTCTCTTAAAACATCCACTCAGTGTGCAGCGACCGTCAAAAAAGAAAATAGCATGTTAGCAATCATTTTTAAAAGGATAGAGAATAAGACAAAGAATATCTTATTGCCTCTATATAAAACCATGGTACGCCCACATCCTGAATACTGAGTACAGATGTGGCTGCCTCATCTCAGAAGAGACACTGACATTGGAAAAGATTCAGAAAAGGTCACCAAAAATTACTAGGGGTTTAGAACGGGTCCCATATGAAGAAAGATTAAAAAGTCTTGAACTTTTCAACTTAGAAAAAAAGACGACTATGGTCTGTAACAGTGTTTCTCAAGCTGTGCTCCGCGGAGCCCTGTGAGGTTGACAAACTGGAAACATCGATAGGGACAACACATACAGTCAGTGGACCGCTGGGGCTCCGCATAAATTTTTATGCATGTAAAGGGCTCCGGAGCCCAAAAAGTTTGAGAACTGCTGGTCTATAAAATCACAACTGGTGTGGAAAAAGTGAACAAGGAAAAGTTATTTACTCATTCCCACAACATAAGAACTAGCAGTCACCAAATGAAATTAATAGGCAACAGGTTGGGGAAAAAAAAAAAAAAAGAAGTTTTTCTTCAGGCAGCTCACAGTCATCCTGTGGAACTCCTTGCCAGAGGATGTTGCACACCAGAGCCTCGGGGGGCCCAGGCTAGTGGATTTTGGGTGCTCCAGCATAGCAGGTGACAGTGAGGGGCTGCAGAACCATCATAGGCTCACCAATGCTGGGGACAGCCCCGACCCTCAGGGGCCAGATCCAGGCAAGCTGGGGGACACATCAAGTCCCTGAACCGTAGGTTCCCCACCGCAGTTTTAAGGAATAAGCTGGCCTCCTGCCACAGAAACCAGCTACAACACATCCAAATGTGTACGCTAGGAAGGAGTCCTGCAGAAAGGGATCTAGGGTTCCATAGTGGACGACAAGTTAAACATGAGTCAGTGTGACGCTGTTGCAAAAAAAAGCAAATGTGATTCTGGGCTGCATGAACACGAGTGTGGTGAGCCAGACAAGAAGTCATTTTTCCGCTCTCCTCTGCGAGGACTAGGCATCAATTGGAGTACAGGCAGTCCCCGGGTTACATGGATCCGACTTACATCAGATCCCTACTTACAAACGGGGTGAGGCAACCCCGCACTAGCTGCTTCCCCCCAGCAGACCAGGGAGACACAAAGCTAGCGCCCCCCCACAGCAGACTAGGGAGATGCGGAGCGGCTTTTCTCAGCAGACACCTCAGCTTGAGAATAAAGGATTGAGGGAAGTGAGGTGTGGGAGAATAAAACTGAGCTCTGGAGAAATGTTTGGCTAGAGTTTCCCCTACGATATGTACCAGTTCTGACTTGCATACAAATTCAACTTAAGAACAAACCTACAGTCCCTATCTTGTACGTAACCCGGGGACTGCCTGTACTGTGTCCAGTTCTGGGCACCACAGTTCAAGAAAGATGTGAAGAAATTGGAGAAGGTGCAGAGAAGAGCAACAAAAATTATTCAAGGTCTCAAGAACATGAGCTATGAGGGAAGGCTGAAAAAATTGGGTGTGTTTAGTTTAGAAAAGAGAAGACTGAAGGGACATGAGGTTTTCAGGTATCTAAAAGGGTGTCACAAGGAAGAGGGAGAAAAAAATGTTCTCCTTGGCCTCTGAGGATAGAAGCAGCAATGGGCTTCAACGGCAGCAAGGGAGGGTTAGGTTGGACATTAGGAAAACTTCCTACCTGTCAGGGTGGTGAAACGCTGGAATAAGTTGCCTCGGGAGGTTGTGGAGTCTCCATCTCTGGAGGCATTTAAAAGCAGGTTGAACAGACACCTGTCAGGAATGGTCTAGACAGTGCTTGGTCTTGCCATGAGGGCAGGGGACTGGACTCGATGACTCAAGGTCCCTTCCAGTTCTAGTGTTCTATGAAATGTGAACCATTAGTGACACCTTGTGGTCGCACTATAACACCACTCAGACGTCACAGTCCTTTTTAATTTCTGAGACTATTTCCTGAAGCAGAGGTAAAAGCTCTGCCTACTCGGTACAACCTGAGACAACACAGAGTGCACTACTTTTAATAAAGAATTATCGCTCTTATTTCTGTTCTTTCACCCATGGTGAAATGATGAACACTGGTATTCTTAGAATGCACTAGTGCTCGTTTTAATATTAACTGTGAGATGAACAGAAGCCACTCATACCTCGCCGAAGTGCAGTGCCAGCTGCACACCACATCACAGCATCTCACTAGGCCTGAAATCATCTCTGGTCTCCTCCTCCAAGGCAGCTTTATCCAAGAGGCCTATTAGTGCTGCTGCAGTTTCCAACGGCGCTGACATGGCTTACCTTAGTGCAGTGGTCTCCAACCTTTTTACACCCAAGATCACTTTTTAAATGACAGACCAAGCCAAGATCTACCACCCCGCCCCTTCCTTGAAGCTCCGCCCCTTCCTTGAAGCTCCGCCCTCTCTATTCTCCTCCTCTCCATCACTTGCTATCCCCCATCTTTATACTGCTGCTTTTTTAAAGAGGTTTTTCAACATTTGGAAGTGGTGCTCAGCCAGGGTGCACCACGCTCCACGTGGGCTGGTGCAGAGAAGAAGCTGCCTGGCCAGCTGGCTGTGGCCATCAGAGAAGCAGCTCTGAGCAAAGCACTCGCGTTACTTGGCGATAAAACATTTGCCTGTTCGTAACCAGTGCAGATACATGAAGTTACTCGAGACAGTCCTCTGAGAGGCCGTCAGGAGCCCTTTCGTTCTGGCCTCAGAGCCCAGAGGAGCTGGGTGGACCCCGAACAGTTTGGCCCCATCTACGCAGAATGCTAAAGGATTGGTCTTGTGTGTGTTGTCCTTCATTCTCGTTTGCATGAGGTCAGGGGGAAATACAGGAAAGCAAGTTGCTTGAATACTATGTAAATCAAGCTACTTTAGGGAGAAAATGCAGGTGATGCCGTTAGTGTTCCACATCTTCAAAGACAGTGTAGGGGGCTCGAATCTTAGGGACCGCAGCTCAGAGACTCTGCTGGCAGAAGTGATGGCAGATAGGAAAGCCACCTTCCAGGAGTCAGACAGTAAGCAGCACATTACAAAAGCCTCCTATGATGACCCCGTAATTTTAGACAAGACCAGGTTCAAGCCCCAATGGGTGTGTGTGTTGGGTTCTGAATTGAGGGTACAACTTCTCATTGAAAAAACATCATGGCTACCCATGCAGGGAGGGAAAGCAGGTATCGTCTCCACTGGGACCTTGTCAGAGGACACTGCAAAGCCTTCCTGTTTCAGACAAGGGCTGTACAATTCCGGTGAATCAGTGAACCCGGTATACCTTAGGTGTAACTGGGTAACCAGCTATGCAGGACCCTGTTCTCGGCCCCCCAACGTGGGGGAAGGGGGACAGCAGCAGCGGCGCACTTGGGGGTAGAGGGAAGCGGCTTCTGCTCCCTTCTCCTCCTCTTCCTCCCACGCACAAGGCTCCCAGCTGCCACTGCTGGCTCCCCACACCGGGAGCTGCTGTGGGGGGGAGGGGAGGGCTTCTGCGCCCAGCCCCCAAGAGGCCCCAGCAGCCACATGGTTAAGCAGGTCCCTGTTCACATCCGTATTTCAGACAAAAGATGAGTCCTATATCCGCGAGATGGACAAATTCTCAGAGACTCTCCAGCATGGTGGGGCCAGAGCAAGAACCACTTCCATTCTGACAGGCAGATGGCCCTGGGGGAGGCTTTCTACTAATTAGTGCACGTCGAGAACGTGCTCAGAGGGCCTTCTTCCTGGGAGTCAGCCAGGGAGCTTCCAGGCTGTTACATGAGGGGAATGCACATTTGGGCACAGCAGCCAACCACGGTCCTGAGAGATCAAATCCAAGTACCCTGGGCGTGTGATTCAAGTTGCTTAGTCTAACCCAGGTGTGGTCCTGGCTTGATCTTTAGTAGCCATCAGCGTAGGAGTGTGACTGGGGTGACGCTTACCAAGTGACCCGTCCTCTGTTATTCGCCACTGCCCAATCTGTGTCTTCTGCCAACCTCATCAGGGACGACCTTATTTTGTTCCACTTGACTTACAAAATATTAACATAGCATAGCCCCATAGAGATGTATGGGGAGCACGTTCTAATCCTCCGGCAACAGGACATGGAAGCCAGACCAGTACAGAAGCAGGCTACAACACTGGCCAGGAAGCCAGACTGGACAAGCCCATGGCTGACTAGTTTAGTATTGGCAAGTCAAGCAGTGGCAGTGGGCTTTGGAGAGGCAACTCTACTGCAGTTTACCGTAGGTGGCACAGACAAGCACTGCCTTTCAGAGGAAAAGCTTCCTTGGTACATCAATGGCATTTTGCTCAGAAGTACAAGCCCCCGAATGGGTCACCAGGAAATAGCACTTCCGCGCTCTGCAGGCTCTGGCTAACCAGAAGAGTCATTTCATCCCACGAGATGGGCAAGAAAGGTGCATGCTAAAAGACACATTTGGCAAGCTGCAGCCAAGATGACACTGCCTACAAGACCATCTGAATGCCAATGCGGGCACTCGTCCATGGTGTGCAGCGCACCGCACACTGTGAGAGTACAGGCGAGAATTTTCACCTGGAGTGGTCTCAAGGGCATGGCTGGTTTGTCAGCCTAGTACAGGCAGCTCGAAAGTGCGCCGTCAGCACTGCTACGAGATGCCCTGGGCGCGCGCGCACACACACGCACACCCCCGGCAGATGCAGGAGGAAGAATGCAATGCTGTGTTGGGGGCTGTCAGATAGCAAACAATAAATGTCATGATTCACAGTTGATTGTGGGGGTTCCAAAACAAATGTGACTGTTTCCCAACCAGTCCTTTTCCTAAGAACTTATTGCCTACATAGCACGTATTAACCAAAAATGCATTGACAATCAAAAGTAGCCTGGGATCCAAGTGCCACTACTGCCCGTCCACAGGTAACGATTTCAAACGGTTGAAGCGCCAATGTCAAGCTGCACCACTCGCTGATTTGCAAGCTGTACACTCGAATGGGGTGGAACTGAAAGTCAGAAGTGTTTCCTGCCCCCAGCTGAAGCGCTCGTATGTGGCTGAAGGAGGAGGAGCCAGGAGGCTACACTGGCTATTCCAGTTCACAAAGCTGTCCAAGCCTTTCCAAGCCAAGAGCTCTCTAGTGACTGCAGGACATGGTCCTCGGAACAGAGCCTCCCCACACAGCGACTGAGCCTGGCAGCCATTAGTAGGGCCAGTCAAATTCACGGCCATGAGAAATGTATCACAGACCATGAAATCTGGTCTTTTGTGACCATGTGTCTTATACGCTGCAGATTTCACAGGGGAGACCAGCAGTTTTGAAGTCAGGGGCCAAATACGGAGGTGCCGGGAGTTCAAGGTTATTTGAAGGGGTTGTGGTATTACTTCTGCGCTGCCTTCAGAGCTGGGTAGCTGGAGAGCAGGAGCTGTTGGCCAGGCACTGAGCTCTGAAAGCAACCCTGTGCCAGCAGCAACACAGAAGCTGAAGTACCCTAACTGCATTGTGAGCTCCCTGAAAGGAACACTGCCCATAGCCAAGTATGCTTGGTCATTATGGTCCGACCCAGGGGTAGGCAATTTTTTAATGGGGGGCTATTCCTAGATTGTGCTAAGTGATCAAGGGCCACACTTCTGTGGAGGGAGCATGGGGTCTGGGACAGCATGCGGGGTGCAGAAGGGAGCTTGGGAAAGAGGACTGGGGCGCATGAGGGAATGTGGGGCCTAAGAGGGGGTTATGATCGGGAGCGGGAGCTTGGGGTCCAGAAAGGGATATGGGTGCAGGAGAGGATTCTGGCCTGGGGGAAGCGTGCAGGAGGAAGTGCAGGGTCTGGGAGGGAGTTGTGACCTGGGGAATAGGTGGGGAGAGGGGATAAAAAAGGGTTTGGGTGGTGGCCTGGGGCAGGCAGTTGTGAGGAAAGTGTGTGTGGGGGGGGGGGGGTTAGAAGCAGCTCTACAGTCTCTCTGCCTGCACCCTGAGCAGCTGCTCCATGGGGTCTCCTCCAGCAGAGGGAGGGAGGAGGCTTCATTCACTACCCCTGCCTTCAGCAAAATTTCTCAGTTCCTATTGGCTGGAAACTGACCAATGGGAGCCTGAGGACTTTGCTGGGCAAGGGAACAACAGTGTGAGGCTCTCTCCTCCCTGCCCAGCTTGCAGAGCAATTAGCAGCCTGCTTTTCAAAGTGGCTGGCAGCCACGGGCCGGATCCGGTGCTTGGCGGGCCAGATCCAGCCCGCTAGCCGCCTCTTGCCCACCCCTTGTCTAACCTGAGCTAAATGTCTTTGGGATCCTCCCCAGAATCATCTGTTTACTCAAACAAACTTAGGGTTCTCCCCTGAACCATTCTTCTGTCCCTGCAAAAGCCCCTAGCCACGCTCAAGTCTTCTAATCCAGATCCAAATCTGGATCAGCTCCACTGGCACTCCATCGCCTGACTGATCATGCTGGGGTTCAGCCTGTGCCCCTCAGCGCCTATCACCTCCAGCTGATCCAATCAAGCTTACTGGAGCGGAGCCACCCTGCTCTCTCCAGGTGGAGCCTCCTGACCCTGACAGCTGTAGTCTGCTTAACCAAACGTGAGTGGTCCTGTTCCACTGATATTGGTACCAATGGTTTTGCTCTGCTCCCCTTGTGTGGTTAGTACCTGGAAATAATTAACTTTCACGTTTAAGCTTGTTGCTTCCTTCTTCACTCCCCTGCCCCCGGGAAGAGATTCTGGCTTCCCCATTCACTCTGCAGCAACACTGCTCAAACCTAAGCTAGAGGCCTGCTGTGCACAAAAGCCCTGCAAGTGGCTTACGACCAGAATAACGAATGTGGAAGTGGGGACAGGGACGGGCTGAAGGGGGCTACGAGGGTGGCAGCCTGGAAGTGCTGCTCAGCTGTGCTCTTCTATTCTGGCCAAGGTGGCATCCTGGGAATGCTGTTTGACCCAGCCTACCAAGGCTAGGGACATAAAAGGTGTCAGCACGGGAGAGCTGATTAACACGGTCCTCTGACATGCTCTGTTAATGCGTGCATTCACCTGATCTAGGATGGGAAGAGCCCCGCTCTGGGAGCCTAGGCCCTGCAGGATAGCACTGCTGAGAGGGAACCGGCAGAAGGGAGAAGTAGAGCCCCAAAGGAGAGCACAAGTGACAAGCAGCACGTTGATAGAATTACAGAATTCCCCCCCCCCC